TTTTTTTTTTTTAAATAAATGTATATTTACTATTTTAAAAATTATAAATGTTTTGACCAGCCCCGATAAATGTTTTGAAAAATATATATTTAAAAAAAATAGAAAAAATAGACTTGTAGTACTAGTAGCGTTATTTATTTATAATAAAAAAAAATTTAAAAAAATGGGCGAGCCGAGCTCGCCCAAACGGCAACGAGCCGAGCTCGAGCTCGGCTCGTTGCCGACGAGCCACGAGCTCGGCTCGTGTTCGACAATGGGCGCCACCACTAGTGGGGATTAAAATTAGATTTCTTGTAAATTGTGATAGAAGTTTTTGAAATGTGTGATTAAAAAGTTGTGGGACCCATGAAAGATGTAGTTAATATTTATTGTTTGAAATTAACTTAAATTAAAATTTAATTTTAATCCAAAACCAACAGGTGTAAATGCAACATGATTGTTTATTTTATGGGGGGAGCTCAAAGGTCAGAAAGGAAAAGTTTCACGAGAATTGATTATTGCGCCAAAACCAAATAAATAAGGATTAAGCCATCACACAAAAAGGATAAAAACAGTGTCAAACTCATTCGAAATCCTGAAGTCACTGCCACAGCAATTCTCTCCCAAATAGAACCGTTAATTTTACATTTACTCTTCGGCGACGTTGGCTGATTGATGTAACTATGGAGGAAAAGATGGACAATAATCATCAAATAAGGCAGCCATTACTGGCGCCGCCTCCGATTACTCCTCCGCTAGCACCGTCGTTACCGCCGCCTGCACAGATTGCCGGCGCAGGCGGAGTTACCGGTGGAGCATGTCAGGTGCGATGCGCGGGGTGTAAGATGGTGCTGACCGTGGGTCCCGGGTGGAAGGAGTTTTTGTGCCCTAGTTGCCAGCTGCCCCAGATGCTGCCGCCGGAGTTGATGCGGGGCAACCCGACCCAGATCCAACGGCAGCAAACCAACGTCCCTGCGCACGGCGTTGATCCGACGAAAATCCAGCTACCTTGTATTCACTGCAAGGCCATACTCAACGTACCCCACGGCCTCTCACGCTTCACTTGCCCACAGTGCCACATTGACCTAGCCGTTGATCTTTCAAAGATTCGGCAACTTCTGCCTCCACCCCTAGCGCCCGTGCCTCCAGAAGAAGTCAACGAGGTTTTTCTCTAATATTTCTTCCCCCGCCTTTTTTAACCATTATTACAATGATGAAGCATGTTGTAAAGTGATACTTGGAATGTTAGTGGCTTAGCCTTTTGCTTTTGTCTTGGATATTCTGCTAAGAATGTAAATGTTGAATTTTGGAGTGGAGTAAATTCGTCGGACCTGGAAGCATCATTTTTTTAGGCAGACGACTCTTATACTGGATGTTGCAATCAGTTAATAGCTTTTTCTTTTCTTTTCTTTTTTCTCTGTATGTGGAGACACATGAAGATTAAAAAAATGTTCCAAATGTTCTTGCTCCCATTGGACCTATTGTATCTATATTAATCAGGATTCACTGATTTCTCGGTTCGCACAATCTACAGACCTAGATACTTAATTTCTGTATATTTTGGGACAATTCCAATTTTATTTCCTTGTCTTTTTTTTCCATTTTTTTTTCTTTTGGGTTGGGGTGGGGAGAGAAAAGAGTTAATTGTTTCAATGGTCACTGAACTTTACAAAGTGTCACGTTTCACTAACTGAACTTTAAGTTGCATCCCATCACTCACTGAACGTAGTAAAGTTGCACTCAATCCATCACCGGGCTAATTCCGTCAAAACCGGTTGCCTATGTGGATGACGATTTGCACACGTGGCCGTTAAATTACCCCAGCTAGCCATTAATCAGCCATGTCATAAATTTCCAACACTCAAACACGTCTCACCCAATTTGATCTCTGAAATCTGTCTCTGGATTTGAGATTTTCGCTTTGGCTACATGAACATTTAGAAACGGCATTTGATCCACCAAATCTGATGATATGTGGAAAAATTATCAGCGAACTTTTCAAGTTGCAAGTGGAGAAAGTTTTTCAACAGAAATAGTCAGCAAGCCGATTACAATTCAGTTCTTTCTTGAACTTGGTATTTCTCACAAGTTACTAGGATCCTCGTTGCTCGGTAAAGATCTCATCATTGCATGAGATATTATCAAACAATTATGGGAGAAGAATGTCATTCCTCGCCCAAATGGTCTTAGATACAAGTTCTATTTTCAGCCTTATATACAAATGACTACATACTTTACCATGATGGATGGAGTGCAACTTTACTAAATTCAGTGAGTGATGAGATGTAACTTAAAGTTCAGTAAGTGAAACGTGACACTTTGTGAAGTTCAGCGACCGTTAAAACAATTAACTCGGCCAGCTGGATTAATTTAACGGCCACGTGTGCAAACAGTCATCGCAATCGGTTTTGACGGAATTAGCCCGGTGATGTATGGAGTGCGACTTTACTAAGTTTAGTGAGTGATGGGATGCAACTTAAAGTTTAGTCAGTGAAACGTGATATTTTGTAAAGTTCAGTGACCGTTGAAACGATTAACCCGGAGAGAAAATATGGAAAATGTTTGTGAAAATATTGTCTTCCCTCCCACAACACATGCACTCAGAAAAAGAACGTGTTTTATCATAAGGCTGTCTTTAGTGGAGGATTTACAATTCTCTTTTTGTATAAATATAATATCAAATGAATGGATTTAGTTTTCTAATGCCACGCAATGAGGATTTAGCGAAAATATTAACATCTAAAAATTGTATTAGACAATCCACTATGACTTTGTCCAGACTGATGTATCTCTCTCCTATTATGCCTTGCATGAACCTTCTATGTGAAGCAATCCCCTCCTCTCCCACCTCTTTCTCACACTCACACTCCCACCCAAGAACAGAAAAAGAAAACGTTTTCGCACAAGGAATAGTCTTTTTGCATTTTCCTCTCATTTTTCTCCCTTTTTCTAATTAGAAGTGCTGTCTTTTCCTTTGGGTTGGCTTTGTTTCTCTCTAATTGTCTATTTTAACCCTTTTGGGATTCTGTACTTGGATTGGAGTTGAGACTTAAGCTTGGACAAACAATAAATGATTATATGTGCAATATACTGTCTGGAAAGGATTAAAGATGCTGCCAACACTTTCTCTTGTTGCATCTGTATTTTAGTTTGCAGTAGAGCATTTACTAACAAAGACCTCTCTCTAGCTGAATAAATGTTCAGTGTTTGCCATGTTACGGGTTATGTGGCTCATACCTATAAAAATTTAGGCATTGTTCTATTCCTGGAAAGCTAAGAGAGATTGATGCTGAGGTGGTCTGAAATGAACCCAATGCATCTTAATGTTGATAATATGTGTAGAAGGAACTCTAGAATTTATTGATCTTTCAAGGCTGCAAAATGTCCTGCATATAAGTTCTAGTAAGTGATTTGGGGGTCCGCTGAAACATTTTGTCACATGCAGATCTGCTTTGTTAGTAGAATCTCATCCAATTTTTTTTAAATTTTTTTTATTCTCTCTCTCTCTCTCTCTCTCTCTCGTTTATTTTACCCGTGCTTTAGAAATGGCTAGTCTTTGTATCTCTTCATCTTGAAAGTATATTTTTTGGAATTAGCATCCACTAATCACATTTTCCCTCTTCAATAAAAATCCTTCAGGTAGCAATTGAGGTGGAACGGGAAGAAGATGAAGGTGGCTTGGCGGGAGAGACATTTATGGATTATGTATATGCCATTATCCTCATTATGTTTTAGCTAAGCTACTTTGACTCTTTGAATTTGCAATCACTAGTGAGTAGTACACAATTCAATTTCTCATCCAAGCTTCTTTTTGTCTTGTGCAGCGGCCTTCGAAATTGTCCATCGGTCCTCCCCATCCGGATCCTATTGTGGAGACATCCTCCTTATCTGCAGTGCAGCCTCCTGATCCTACTTACGATCTCAGGATTAAGGATGACCTGGAAAGTTCAAAGGCATTATCATGCTTGCAGATTGAAACATTGGTCTATGCTTGTCAGGTTGCTTTAATAATCTTGAATCAATATTTTCTGCACATGCCCGATATCTTCTGTTGTATGATCATCTTTTAATGACAGAGACATCTTCAACACCTCCAAGATGGTGCCAGAGCAGGATTTTTTGTTGGAGATGGTGCTGGTGTGGGCAAAGGACGGACAATTGCGGGGTTAATATGGGAGAACTGGCACCATGGGAGAAGAAAAGCACTGTAAGTGCCAGCTGCACTAGTTTTTGAGCATTTACGTGCTCTGAAGTTTCTTATTCTAATTACGTTTGATACCTGGTGATTGCATTAATTGCTTGTCACTATCTAATTTAACTCATGTTTTAAACTTGTATCTTTTTCTTATTCTTTCTCTAATGATCTTATGCAGGTGGATTTCTGTTGGTTCAGACCTAAAGTTTGATGCTAGAAGAGACTTGGATGATGTTGGTGCTAGGTGTATAGAAGGTATATGCCATTTTTGCGGAATGGTTGTTCATTCGTTGACCTCTATTTGGGCTTTTCTTATTTGGGGCATTCTTTTTGTGCCGAGGGTTTGGGGTGGGGGAATGGCACTTAGATGCTGGATGATACATTAGAATTGCAACCTGTGTAGAAACAAAATGGGGCTTACATATACCATTTGTTAGATTCTCTTGTTTGTTTCTACAATTGATGTATGATTTATTACATTTTTGTCTTTTGGAAACAATATTTGCGCTAACTAATAGTAACAGAAGGTAAGTGTAACCACTCGACTGCTGTGCCCAATCCGTTAACTTATTTACTGTCCGCTTTGGGAGACTCTAAGCCGATCTTACCTCTTACGGATTTCTATTGCGTCCACATGATTCAAGCTCTTGACCCTTTCCTTAAAAATGACTTAAGTTGAGTCCTGATATTAATTGGGCAAGTGTCCAATTGGTACGAGGATTCAACTTATATTTCTTAAGGGAAGTTCATGTGTTTGAATCTTGCGGACGCGATAGAAATCCGTGAGGGGTAAGTATGCAAATGCCCAACCAGAGCGAACTATATGTAAGTTAACAGCTTGGACACAAAAGTTGGGTTGTTAAAAAAAATGCATTTTTTATAATGACCCGACCTCGTGCCTGACCGTTTTCTTACGCATCCACTTTGGTAGAGCCTAAGCTCATTTTATCCCTCACGGTTTTCTGTCGTGTTCCCTAGGTTTCGAATAAATGACCTCCCATTGAGAGAGATTTAAGTTGAATCTCGGTACCAATTGGATTAGTTACTCAATTGATGTCAGGATTCAATTTAAGTCATTTTTAAGAGAAAGGTCAAGGGTTCGAATTATGGGGACGTGATAGAAATTCGTGAAGGTAAGTGGGCGGATGTCTACCCAGAGCGGATAGTATGTAAGCCAACGGCTTGGGCATAGATGTCGAGTCGTTACAAAAGAAAGCGTTTTTTGTGACAACTCGGCTTCTTTGCCCAAGCTGTTGTGTCATACATACCGTCGCTTTGGATGTGCATCTGCCCATTTAACCCCTCACAGATCTCGGATTTGAACCCAGTATCTCTGGCTAATGAGATACTTATTGCCCAATTGTTATTAGGATTCAACTTAAGTCTCTCATTTAGGGAAATGTCATGAATATGTTTTTTGTTCGGTGAGCCATAGCCTGATCTATTAGCGGAATAATTCATTGCTGGGCTCAAGTTTTTGCAACTTCTGGTATTTCTGACTAATTATCGTTTTCTTATAAATTTTCCCTTCTAGTGCATGCTTTGAACAAGCTTCCTTACTCCAAGCTTGATTCCAAGACTGTTGGTGTTAGCGAGGGAGTTGTTTTTGTGACATATAGCAGCCTCATAGCATCTTCGGAGAAAGGTCGTTCTCGTTTGCGGCAGCTTGTGCAGTGGTGTGGACCAGAATATGATGGCCTCATCATATTTGATGAGGTATTGGATTTGTTGGAATAAATATCAGTATGAGTTTCATAAGATATTCTTAACATAATGATGGGTAATTGGCACATGGTTCATGCAAGGAACACTTAAAGATCACACTTAATTGCTTCTTTTAGTGTCACAAAGCCAAAAATTTGGTCCCAGAGGCTGGAGGGAAATCAACAAGGACAGGCGAAGCTGTTGTTGAGATTCAGGTGTGCTCTCCTTTAAACTTATATAATGTAACAGTGTTTCTGCTAAGATGTCTTGTAGCTATTCAGGAATGCCACAGTATAGCTGACTATTTTGGATTTCCTTCTTCTTTATTCAGTTCAGTGACTTTGCAACTTCTACATCTGGATCCTCTCTCTTTCTCTACTCCCCCCTCCTCCCCATGCACCTGCTTTTTCTTGGAGCTGCCCACTCCACTCTCTCTGTACTTTCTGTATGCATACATCAGTCTCTATTGTGCCGCCTTTAGTGAATGTAGATTTTGATAATAATAGTCTACCTGTGCATAATTTGCTTGCTTGCTTCCAATCCTATATTTGTTCCGAAGGTGATTTTTGTCATATTTGTCAATCAGAGAATGGAATAGTAAATTAAGTAGGAAAAAAATGAACTTGTAACATTTCTAAAGTTGGAGAGAACTTTTTTTATTCAATAGTTAAAAAGGCAGAACTAGGTACTGGTGCCTTTTTCCTTCCAGAGGTGTGGCGATTAAGGTGTAAGCCTCACTGCGAAAAAAAGTCAACAGATAAATAATACTTATACAAAAATATAATAAACCATAAACATTCCTAAAAATTCTCCTTAGATATAACCAAAATAAACAAACCGCCCATTAATATAATTTTATAAAAAAGAAATAAAAAAAGAAAAGGAGATAAAATGAAAAGAAAAGGAAAAAATTAAAAATACCTCTTGGATTTTTTCAGACTGCCGAAGTTTACTGCCTTGAAATCTTAATGCTGAAATGTGTGGTTGAAAAGTTGTGGATCTCATAAAATGCGTGGTTAAAATTAGTTATTGACTTTGACTTAGATTAAAATACGAATTTTAATTTGTGCCAAATAGGGGCTTACAAAAAGAGGTTGAAAAAAAAAGCAAAAAAAGAAAAAAAGTCAAATGTCAGGACAAAAGTGAGGTGTGCACCTCATTCAGTGACGGGTTTTCCTTGAAAAAATAGCACGAATATTAGCGTCCTGAGAAACTACAGGTGCACCTCACAGCCACCTTTTCAAGCCACGCCTTTATTAAATTTGTTACTATAATGCCTTTTATAATATCGAATAGCATCCCTATGGCGTGACATTGTCATTGAACTTGGAATCTATACCACAAACAAAGCCGGCTGGCAGGTTGTAATGTCACGTGTTATGGCCACTCAGATTTAGTCCATCAGAGTAGTGAATCCTGGAAAGATTTCAATTTTTAGTGGAGAAAGGCATTAAAATAACTCTTGAAATTGCTCTATGGAAGTTTCAAGATTTGCTCACGCTACAGATAATATAAGGCAGTAAAACTAGAAGATAATTGTTTGAAGACGTGACATTGGATTTAATATGTGGACGTAAAGCAAATATGAGCAAGGAGAGGTGATTAGATGATGGTTATGTCTAGGCTCTTAATATGGTTAAGAAAGTTAATATAACCAGTTTCTCCTGATGCTACATGCTGCAGAAGACATAGGATACCTGACTTTTTCAATAGAGACTTAAATAATGGAAATTTTTTCTGTACTGTTGTACATTATATGCCTTGTTTATGTTTAATTTTGCTTTTCGTTGAATTGAACTCCTTTTGCGATGTGGATTCCGCTGCATCCACTGTACTTTGCATGACTGTAATGCACAACCATTTCTTTTCCTCATGATTAAGCTTACTGAAAGTCCAGCAATATTTTTAATGTGCTTGCTAACTAATGGATATTTTCTTTTTTCTTTGGAATTCCTACACTATAGGGCCGACTTCCTCAAGCTCGTGTCGTTTATTGCTCGGCAACTGGTGCTTCTGAACCACGTAACTTGGGTTATATGGTTCGACTTGGTCTTTGGGGAGCTGGAACATCTTTTACTAGCTTCAAAGAATTTCTAGGTGTGATGTTTATTTGCGCAACTGCAGTCTGCTTGCTGTCATGTTTAAATTGAGATGTACTGTGTTGTTTTTCTGAAAGAATTTATCACCAAGTTCCTTGTAAGTTGAAACACATGATTGATCTCTCATGGAAGAGTCAATGATTCTATCATCTGGTTGAATTTAGCTGGCTTCAGTTACACAACAAATACCCATGTCCTGCCTACTAATTTGTTGCCCCTAACTTTTGTTCTACACTTTTATTTCATGAAGTCCAGTCTCTTACCATTAAGCATTCCATTTCTGTCTGTTTTTTGTTGAGAATTATAATTTGGAAGAGGGCTTTGTGATTGTATGCTTGAAAAAGACAGACTTGCTTGTAATTTTTTTTGAAAGGAACATGACCATTGATGTGGCTAAAAAATGTAGAATCTTGATTTCTTTATAGCCTCATAGGAACGATTTATAAAAATGTATTTGGCTAGTGGTATACTGAAGTATGGAGTTCGTTATACAAGAGTTCAAGAGTCATGCTTGTTCATCTATGCATACGAGGATCCAGCACCAGAAGGTACACATTTAATGATTAGATGCATGAGCATAATCTGTGAATGCACTGGTCATCAAGTCAACGTGATTGATTTCATCAATGTGAATGTCCATATTATCCACGTTGAACTACTCATGCATTTGTTCTGCCCACATGCTAAATCAGTTTTTGGCATGGAACCTTGAGGCATTGGACAGGGAACAACTTTTTAGTTCTTTGGGCATATATTATGTGCTGTACATGTTTAATATGTAAATTCTCACTCATGGATGTGTGTTTATGTAGATTTGCCTTCCGTTTCAGTCAACATGAAGATTTATTTGTTTTAGTTTTTCTAATCTTTTTAATCCTACTAGTGCGTAGATTTTCAACTACAATCTACCGTCTCTTATTGCAGGAGCCATGGTGAAAGGGGGTGTTGGAGCCCTAGAACTTGTTGCCATGGATATGAAAGCAAGGCAAGGTTCTGACTTAGCAAATTTGGGGGACAATTTATGTGAATCACCATGTTATAAATTGAACTAACACTTTTGAATTTTAGGGGTATGTATCTTTGTCGCACACTGAGCTATAACGGTGCGGAATTTGAAGTTGTTGAAGTACAGTTGGAGGATAAAATGACGGTATAGTGCTTTTTGAACCACACTGCCTACAGAAAAGTTTTATTTGTCGAATTTTTCTTGCAGTCATTAAAATTCTATATATTTTCTCATATGAGATCTAGTATTTCTCTACCCATGGCGCTGCTCTGGACATCATTGATTGATTGCAGTATCAGGCTTTAGAGTTCACATTATGTGAAACTTAGGGCATGTGTGACAAAGCTTTTTATAAAAGTGTTAGCAGATTATTATAAATGAAATTGTGGTTGAAAAGATGGTAAAGGTTATGGGTCCCATGAAATGTGGTTAAAATTGATGTTTTGAAAGTTGAAAAGTTCATAAAATTTTAGAGCAGGTTTATCAAACAAACACTTTGCTCCTGTTTTAGCCCCATTGTAAGGGGAAAATAAAGTTTGCAATAGTGATTTTTTTAAGAATGTGTGAATAAAAAGGAGGTAAAAGTTTTGGGTTTACGTGCAAAATTATTTTATTAAGAGAATGTGTGGTTAAAAATGAGTTCGAGGAAAATGAATTTTTAGATAATGGGGCTCAAACACGGGCTTTATGTTTTTTCATGATATAACACGACTTGGATTCTGGTCCGTTGGAATTTTGATTATTTGGTAAATGCTGTCTACTGACCCTATTGGTTCAGCTATGACCCTCGACTTATTTTGAACTGGTGCATTTCCTTGAACTGATATAAACCTTTGGAATGCTGAAGTTTCCTACAGCTTTAGCTCCTCCGGTTTGTAGAAAATTGTGCTAATAGGTGCTCGAAACATGTATAATATGTCATTCTACACAAACTAGCTCCTGCCTCTAGGAAAGATTGAGAACTCCATATAATAGGAGAAACTGAACAGTTGCAAATCTTGAAGTGTGGATATGTCAATTGGAATATGCGAAATATAGGATTTTTCCTATGCCCGGAGGTTTTTTATTTGGGACTGATCTTTTTTCTTTGCTCTTCATTTATTTTTTAATTTCTTCGACTGAGGATCGGTTATAGATTATTTTATCTCTTCTCAAGAAAATATATTTGCTCCTGTTGTCTGAAGACTTCTGTATTATTATCATCTTGTCAAGCATTCTTCTAAAAGTGCATCATTTGCCTTATAATGTTAATTAACAGACACACTTTTGAAAGTCAAGAAAACAACAATTTCTGTTGATAATCATTTTTTATCAATATATCTACTTTTTGTTATCTTCAAATTTCACAAGTACATATTGCGATTGTTTTGAAGTAATCTGTAGTTTTGTGATAATCTGGTTTGTTTTTTGAATTTTCATGTGGTATAATTCTTAATAAGTCACTGTGGCTATTCTCAGGATATGTATATTAAAGCAGCCGAATTTTGGGCTGTGTTGAGAGTTGAGTTGCTATCAGCAATCAAATTTCTCACAGATGAGAAGTCCAACACAAGTCTACTGTGGAGATTATACTGGGCAAATCATCAAGTTTGTAATTTTAAGTTTCTATGTTGAATTTTTTAGCATTTAACGTTTTTGATCTCTCCACATTCTGATATGTATTTTTTCTTTCTATATGCTATTATAGCGTTTCTTTCGACACATGTGTGTGTCAGCTAAGGTACCTGCAGTAGTTCGACTTGCTAAGCAAGCATTGCTGGAGAACAAGTGTGTGGAGTATCCGGATGTCTGTACTGGAGAGGCACGAACCGAAGAAGCTGTTTCAAAACATGTGAGCCTGATTTCCTCCTCTTCTTTAACTCGTGCAATTTATGCATAAATTTTGTTTAAACCGTTTCTATGTATGCCCGTTACACAATTCATGTGTAAAGATGACTATAATTGCTTCTATACCAAAACTGTTGTCACATAATTTTTTTAAATTTTCTTCTGTTCCAATCCTGAAGGTGTGAATTAAAAGATTCTTTGTTATTTTCTGGTGCATTTTATTAATGAATTTTTAAGTTTGTAAATACTTTCTTAACAGTTTCTTTAACTTCCCTCCTTTTTTTTTTTCATGTCAATATAGGGTCTTGAACTTGATGATTTCATATCGGGTCCCTGTGAGTTATTGCTTAAATTTGTCGAGGAAAATTATCCCCTGCCAGAGAAGCCTGAACCACTCCCAGGTATCTATATATACATCTAATACATTTGGAATTGTTTGTACCTTTCTTTTTGTGTTGCTGATGTATTCTCTTTCTATTTCTGTTCTTAGATGAAACCATGAAGGAGCTTCAGAGGAAGAGACGCTCAACAACTCCTGATGTGTCATTCACTGGGAGAGTAAGCAAAGTTGCTAAATCAGAAGCTGAAAGTGAAGAAGAAAGCGAGTGGCAATCAGAAAGTAAATAAAAGAATTCAATAAATGATAGATCCTTTTGATATATATTTTACACGAAAACAAATTTTGCTCATTCTTTGATGGTTTTAAGAAATAGAAGATATAATCTTGCTTGGACAATGGAAAGAGCCAAAGTTTTATCTGTTGAAATATTGTTATATGCTTTGCGAACTTAACCCCCTGTTTGAGCCCCATTTTTGGGAAAAAAATATCTTTTGGAATAGTGATTTCTTTTGGAGAATGTGCGGTTAAAAAATAAGGAAAAGCTTTGGGTTTATATGTAAAATTATTTTATGTGAGGAAATGAGTTTTGGAAAAACGAGTTTTTGAAAAAATGGAGACCAAACATAGGCTAAGTGATGTATTTACATTTTTGACATCACGTGAGGGATGGATGTCTTGTTCACTGTTTCTATTTGCCTCGTCGTTGGGACACAGGATCTAGATGGCAAACTGGCTGACGTGTTGATAATTTAAGTGATTCCATGATTTTCCTGTTTCATCTTCACCCCATAAGAAAGAAAGACTTTGAGATATACTCGAGTTATAGGCGTAGTCTTTTGCTCCTCCACTTGCCTTTTTTGTTAAACTTCAACCTATTCTTTTGGAATATGTTCTCTCTTTATGAAGAACAGTTTCCTGTATGAAATGTTATTGAGGACACAGCTACATGTTCCAACTGGTAGAATAGCAATACATTGTGTTTAGGTCATACAATTTACAGTACATGTTACGCTGCCTAATGCTAGTTTTGGGCTTCTAAAACAAAAATAATCAATTAAATACAAAATTTGAAGGATCCTTTGCTCCATTGTACGTGGGCATATACAGATTGCACTGTGCCATCTTTACTATCTAAATAAAGCTGATTCTTCACTCGTAAAACTATCCCTCTAAATTTATGGTGTCTTTTATTTTTACTTCTCTTTACTTTTTTGTCTTTTATATTCTCTGGGTTATCACTTCTCTAGATTTTTATCTGATTGTTACTTGTCTTTTTTGAGAAATGCAGCTGACACAGAACCTGAAACTGAATCTGAAGATGAGTTTCAGATATGCAACATTTGCAAGTCAGAAGAGGTGGTTTTTTCCTTTTTTGGGTGTGGGGTGGGGGGCATTTTATGTTGGTTTTTAGGGGGTATTACATTGTCAGTGTCTCCTTCCTTCCATAATTCTATTTCATTGTTAACTCTCTCTCTGTTAATGTAGGAAAGGAAGAAATTACTTCAATGTTCCTGCTGCAGTCAGCTTGTTCATCCTGCATGTCTAGTTCCACCCGTTGAAGAAGCCATATCTGGGGAATGGTCTTGTCATTTATGCAAGGAAAAAACCGAAGAATATCTTCGAGCTAGTCGTGCCTATTTTGAAGAACTATTGAAAAGGTATCCATTTGTGCAAAAAGCGAATCTCTTTGCCTACCTTTATTTCCTTCTCGTTTAATGTATTCTATATGATTTTTGATGGCATTCTCATTTAGCTAATTAATAAAACTGAAACATGAATTAGGTATGAAGGAGCAGTGGAGCGTAAATCAAAAATCTTAGAAATAATTCGTTCATTGGATCTTCCAAACAATCCACTGGATGATATTATTGATCAGGTAACATCTGATCCAATATTAAATCCTCTTCAAGTTCTGGTAACTTCTATTAACCTCACTGTGTGTTTGCAGATTGGCGGCCCTGATAAAGTTGCAGAAATAACTGGAAGACGGGGCATGCTTGTTAGGACTTCTGGAGGAAAAGGTGTTACTTATCAGACACGAAACACGTGAGTTTGGGCATATATCTAGTTGTGTTTAATTTCATTTTGCATTGCTAGTTTGTTATGTTGTGTGCTTCAGGAAGGATGTGACCATGGAAATGGTCAATATGCATGAGAAGCAGCTGTTCATGGATGGTAAGAAGCTTGTAGCTATTATTTCTGAAGCTGGATCTGCTGGTGTTTCTTTGCAAGCAGATAGAAGAGCTCTAAATCAGGTGATGTAGTTGTATTTTTCAATTTTATTTCATCAATTACTTTTGGACCATGAGTTATTCAGTGTCCTTTTGGTTCTTAACTGCAATTTGAGTTGGATCCTTGTCTTTTCATGGCAGAAAAGAAGAGTTCATATAACTCTAGAACTACCCTGGAGTGCAGACAGGGCAATTCAACAATTTGGAAGAACTCATCGATCAAATCAAGCTTCTGCACCTGAGTATAGGTATTTATCAGTTTCTGATCCTGACTTTGTGGAAACTGATCTTACTCTTCTATCAGCAAGTATACTATGTTCGATAACAAGTTCTATAAATCTATTTTAACCGCTCAAGTCATGAAAAAGTCTATTTGAAGTTTAAAGACTAGTAGGATACAGGTAGTGTTGGAATGCACTACTGGAAAAAAAAAGATAACAGTTGATTCGAAGTTGAACATTAAGAGGGTGTTTGACACCCATTTTTTGGAGAATAGAATTTTTGGAATAGTGATTGGTGGGAGAATGTGTGGTGGAAAAGTTATGAATAGTTTTAGATTTGTGTGTAATATTATTTTATTGGGATAATGTGTGGTTGAAATGAAGAAAGAGAAAAAAATGAGAATGTGTGCCAAACAGGAGCTAAGAATGCATACTAGACAATCAATCACATTCTCGTAGTAAATGTGGACATCATTGAGAAGTTCTAATGGAAGTACATAAATAAATTTTGTGGAGGATCTTGATTGAATTACATCATGTTCAATAATTTGTTAACAAGTCTAGCATCAAAACTAGTTGTAATTATCGTGTGAAGGTACAAGTAGGTACTATGCCTGTAGATAATTACAAAGAACTTGGTTTACTTTTTAATTTATAACAAGATTTAACAAAGTTTTTGAGTAATCTGCTGAGTGGGTATCAGACTCTATAGATTAGCCAATATAACTTCTCTATTTGGACCAAGCTTTTAAGTGCTGATGACTTAATTGCAAATATCTCTTTGCTTTGCAGACTTCTTTTCACGAATCTTGGTGGTGAACGCCGTTTCGCATCTGTTGTTGCCAAGAGGCTCGAATCTCTTGGAGCATTAACACAGGGAGACCGTAGGTAACTTCAAAAGACCTCACGGTGTATAGATAGCTTTGTGACATTAAGATTTAATATCACATTCAACCAGTAATATATCGATATTAGGCTTATGTGCACTGTTGAGTACATTGCAGGGCTGGGCTATCTCTTAGTGCTTACAATTATGACAGTTCCTATGGGAAGAGTGCCTTGACGATGTTATACAGAGGACTCATGGAACAGGTGTTCAATTCTTTTAGATGATGGTCTCATGCTAGACTCATACTTTCCTTTTACTCTTTTATGTTCAAGAGGTAATTAATTTTCTTCTTTATTTTTTCTTTTAACAGGATCAGTGGCCAGTTGTTCCACCAGGGTGTTCATCTGACAATCCTGAAACAATAGAAGATTTTATTCAGAAGGGAAAAGCTGCTCTTGTGTCTGTTGGGATAATTAGAGATCCAGTTATTGGTAACATCTTAAAAAATTGTCTTTATTGGAAAACTGTTTAGTTATATTTATTGGATGTTTTCTTCTCATAATTCTCTTTTAAGGTACTGGAAAGGATTCTGGAAAAATTTATGGCCGTATAGTTGAATCTGACACGAGTGATGTTGCACGTTTCCTTAACCGGCTTTTAGGTCTCCCACCTGAGATCCAAAATAGGTATTCAGTTTTGTTGGTCAAGCTTTGATATATTTGTTCCTTGTACATGCATTGATAACATTGAAAGTTGATATTCTGTAGGTTCTTTGAGTTATTTGTTAGTATCTTTGATCTTCTCGTTCAGAATGCACGTTCTGAGGGACATTTGGACTCTGGAATTGTTGATATGAAAGCCAACACTGTGGAACTGCGAGGATCTCCAAAGGTTAAGATATCCCTTTTGCTCTTATTGGTTTTACATTATTGATATATATTAACATGCATGTTTGTCAGACTGTTCATGTTGACAGTATGTCTGGAGCATCCACTGTGTTGTTTAGTTTTATATTGGATCGAGGAATGGCATGGGAGGTATTTATTTTTATCATAAACATACCAGTTGAGTATTATACGTTTTACTGGATATCGACAACAGCTCTGTAAATTATGTTGTAATGTGTAGTCTGCATCTACATTGCTCGAGGAGAAGCAAACAGGTGCATCCATTTCAACTAATAATGGATTCTATGAATCGAGGAGAGAATGGATGGGAAGAAGGCATTTTGTATTAGCATTTGAAGGGTATGGATTTTTTTATCTTACTTTGAGTTGTATGACTGAGCATTATGATTCTACTTGTTTTGTGCAATGATGGTGGTTGGCTATTATCATGTGTGGTAAAATTAGCCGACAACAGTATGGTTGTGGCTTAAAATCTGAGTCAATCATTATGAAGCTTAATTCTTGGTGTTAGCCATTATCCTGTCCGTCTCTTGTCGTTGGCATTATCATTAAATGCCATTTCATTTTACAGTGGCATCTTGCACCCTAACTATGCATCTGTTTCTCCTGGTAAATTTAGATTTTATGGTTAATATTTCTGGAGGATGAATATGATGAGAACATGCAGATTTTGCCAGCCACGAATGGTTTAAAAACTATTTACCTGAGGGCTGGTATACTTGTTAGATGAAAATCTGCTTTGTTTTTATTTGCAAGCATGTTTGTATTAACTTCTGCTCAAGACAATCTTTTTTCCAGATAGCTTGATTTTCTTGCAATTTTCCTGGTCTTGTTTCAGTTCTGCTTCTGGAATGTACAAAATATACCGTCCAACCAACGGGGAGTCCCTCAGGTACCAAACTAACCTTCATAGGACCACTTGTTAGTTTCTTTATCATCTTCATAATATTCTGTTGCACTTTCTCTCTATATTAAGGGAGATGCCTCTAGCAGAACTGGAGGACAAATATAGAAAAATTTCATCTTCACAGAAGGCTCGTAGTGGTTGGGAGGAAGAGTATGATTTGTCGTCCAAGCAGGTAAATATTTTTTCATCATAAATAAACTTCTTTCATGCAAAAAATGTGACAAGTCTTTTTCCTTTTATCACGAGTACCATCCTGTCCATAAAACTGATGAGGAACGTGAAGTTAAATGACTTCAGGGGATTTTATATTTCCCGGACTATAAACATGTCGAGTTCCATAAATGGTTACAAATGTATTGAAGTCAATATTTATTCCTCAACTCCACAGTCACGAGTCTGTGATGTGTCAAGGTTAAACAGGGTAACCATTTTGTTGATATTTGCTATTTGTAAAAAATGCCAAAACGGGTTCCATTTCCTCCTCATTTCCCCACAGCTGTAGCTGAAGCATAGAGTGCCGTAGGGAAATGCCAAACTCTTCTTTTGATTGTTAAACATACTCCTACGGTATTAAAGAAGAGGTCACATGAGAACCTGGAACTAAAGAATATGTATGCCCTGAAGCATCACCTTGTTAGCCCAGGATATATATATATTATGTTGAATATACATCACTCAGCTTAGCCAAGGAATGAAAGAACATATGTTCTTTAGTTATATGTTGCAATGTTTTTCTATATTTCATATAATTCAATTAAATTGTTTGTTTACATTGAATTGTAGTTTTATGACCTCTTATCTCTCTGATGCCTTAACCTTTGATCCTTATTTGCTCTGGTGTTTAATTACAGCAGCTGTGGATTAATGCACCTTTTTTCCCAACAATTTATTAATTGTCATTTATAAATTAAACAGTAATGATAAACAGAACTGGTAAGCGGAGCAAGTATTTTCATTTAACTGCATTAGCTTAGTTTTCCGATTATCAATATAAATTGAGCCTAATGGATAATACTTGTTGACCGTACATCTAGATTGAAGGCTCATTTCTCAAGTTTAAAATCCTATTTAGTGATTTGGTAGCTGTTGCGAGGGGGAACTATTTGGTTCCTATAGATTTCCATTCACTGTGATAGTTATGTTTAATTGCTGCATTATATTGGTCAAGTTTGCAGAGCTTATTTAGTATTTTGCTTGCAGTGCATGCACGGCCCCAACTGTAAGTGGGGCAGCTTCTGTACAGTTGGTAGGAGACGGCAGGAAGTGAATGTGTTGGGTGGCCTCATTCTTCCTGTTTGGGGAGCTATTGAAAAGGCTCTTTCTAAGCAGGTAACTTGATCTTTTTTTTTAATGTATTATTCAGTCATTTGATTAAGATATAAACCAAATTTGACATGATGTTATAATTGATGGGAGTCTTCTATCATAAAAGAAGTTGCATATAAACCCATACATATAAACTTCACTCATTAGTAGTTTTGGGTGAATAATTAAGACGTCTTTCAGAAAAAAAACTATTCATTTTCAATCCGTTTTACCCTGCATATTTTTTCTAAGTATTCTGTGGGTTGCCGATGTTTGTGTGGATTTAGAACATTTTGTAGGACTCACAATTTGGTATCACTTATATTCACACATATCGTAGGACCCATAATTTACTACATCCACACATTCCGTAGGACCAATGATTTACAAGCACTACTAACAGGTGTTAAATTGTCCGACTGCACTTGCTTTTTGTGTATAAGTGTTGGCTTTCCTGACAAAGAGTTTAACCTTGTGTTGGACTAAATGCTGGACCATCTTACTACCTAGTATGAATAGAAGATTCAGAGTTCTGAAAGCTCTAGCTGCTGCTACTGAGGAACATGCTACCCCAAATATGCATCTGATACATAAATCAGCTTGTCCTTCCATGCATGGTTTTTCATTGTGTGGTACATCAGAAGATGCTGCATTTCTAGTAATTAGCTGAAATATTAATGACAATTTTTATAGGCTCGCCTAAGCCATCGGCGGATCCGGGTTGTGCGTATCGAGACCACTGCAGATAATCAACGAATTGTTGGGCTGCTTATCCCAATTGCAGCAGTTGAATCCGTGCTTCAAGGTTAAAGACTCTCTCTCTCTCTCTCACACACACACACACACACACACACACACACATCTTCTAAAGCTATAATTACACATGAGGTGAAAACTTGTTCCTTGAATGATTATTGCTATACACGAGATACTCATGTTACTTTATATGTAATATACTACATATTCATAATACTTGCATACTACGCTACTTCGAACTTACAGGTACTACTTAGTACGTGTATACGTTCAGTGTTAGCATTACTATGAAAATGATGCTTATACTTTCTTAACAAAATCTGCACAACTGAAAGTGCTTGATGTACAGAGAGGACACTAGATACAAGTATATTTCTCTTAATTTAAGAATGTGGAAATGTAACAACTATATCATTATCATTCATTGTCGGGTTTATAGTTCTAGACTTCTAGTTGCATTACTGCATAGAAATTCATCAAAAAAGCTTATCATTGGGTTACTGTGAATTCACAACATTATGCATGATAGATCGTGTCATCGATGGGTTTCATTTCAATGTAGAGGATAATTACTCAGAAATGGTGTTATATAACTTTCTTTTTCGCAGATTTAGCTTGGGTTCAGGACGTTGATGATTGAGAGAAACCCACGTCGAGGATTTTTTGTCATTTTTGTTCGAAGGGGGGTTATCAGCAACTTTCTACTCTATGGTATCGAAATGAAGGAAAGTTGCTGTACACATGTAGTGCTGCGTAAGGATAAAGTACAGCAGCGTTCTTAAATATTAAATATTGTGCCCCACTTTTTGACATACATACAATCTTTCTGAATCATGTCCATAGTTGTACATGGCAACCTTCTATATCTATCTAATTTCATCTAGTTTTGCAGCAAGGAATTTGTACAGACAGTTCATTGAAATGCAAAAATCTTGCTTGTTTTTGTTGCTCAAGTTACTGTTGACATGTACAATAGCTAATGTGAATTATTCTATTTTGTTCATATATTTATTGTACATCAAGCCTACTGCAGAGAAAGGAATAAATATTTTACGCTTTGGCCTACGAGGCAGGCCGGCTAAGCAAAAGCCAAGCAAGAGGCTACAAAAGGTTCTTTTTTGTCGATTTCTGGATTTGGAGGTGTAGAAGGCACTCCGAACAAACACCTCTCGAATATCGAGTATTTTAAGAACATCGTTTTTTAGCTAGAACGGAGCATAAACGTCTGAGGTGATTATTGATAATTGGCTTACAGTGAAATGCATAATTTATCAACATGATTAGCATCATTTCTTCGTGAGTTAGCTATTCTATTATCATATCTTCACCAGGATAATTCAATGGTGTGGCGTCCATCACATTTTTGGAGCGTTTAACTAGATATGACCTCACATAATTTATTCATTTATAAATTAATAGCATGTTTAAAGTAATAATTTTTTTTCTCTCAATAAACAAGCTTGTGAATTTGTACAAGGGGAGTTTGGAGGATTTTGAATTATCCATTCTCTTATCAATTTGATAATTTAGTAGTGATGGTAGCGACTGTTTAGGGATGGCAAAAATAAAATAAAATAAAATTGTTAAACCCGTTACTCGTGGAGTCCCGTCCTGAATGGGGTAAGAACTACCCGCCCAACCGGGTGATTGCAAGGATGGTATATGGGTCATTGCCCCGAAGCAGGTAGTGGAAACATAATTCTCGTTTTGTTATCCGCATCGTTTAAAGTTAATTTCAAATTTAAATTTTTAATCAAACAAAAATAATATATTATCATCATTTTTAAAGAGAACATGAACTATTCTCAACAAATTGAAAAAAAAAATGTAATAATATTCACTAATTAAAGACATAAAAAAATACAAGCAAAAAAATAAACAAAAATAAACAGGGCGACAAACTCCGTCCCGTCTTGAACCCGCTCCGCGTTAGTTGAGTATGAGGGCAGGATAAGGTAACAAAAATACTCGATATGATGACGGCGAGAATGGCCAACCCACCTCATACTTGTTCCATCCCGTTGCCGATGCCATGTGCATTTGATTTTTAATTTAGATGTGAGCTCCTTCACATTTTTCTCTAATTATCAATATGTGACTGAAAGCTGAAACAGGGTGCAGTAGGTAACAATAATAGGGCTGTCCGTGGGTCGGTTCGGTTCGGTTCTGAAGATACCCGAACCGACCCAAAACTTTCGGGTATTTAATAAATGGACCCGTCGGGTCCAAATATAATTATGGTACCGTTCGGGTTCGGTT